CTGAACAGAGGCACAACAGTACCTCCACAAAGGCAGAATAAAAGCAAGCCTGAACAAAGACAGTAAAAGAGAAGTAGTGCTGGGGTAATTAAACTCTGACATGGAAGAGCCTAAACCTGCTAGAAGAAGAAGGGGGAAGAAACCTAAAAGGAGCAAGTCAAGCACAGGAACACATCATCAGTTAGAAAGGAGAAAAAGGAATATGAAATTTGTACTTTTTCTTTCCAAAGAAAAAGGAAGATAACACGGGTCAGGGATCAAGCATCCACTTAGCATCTCTTTAATCTACTGCAGAGGTTAGAAGTAGCAGGAGACTGACTCTATGGAGACAAGCGGCAGTACCAAAGTAGGGACGGGAGAGCAGGGATGCTAGCAGTACTCCCCCCGGTGGAGGAGTCTGTCCGTGACACTTAACAGGTGTAACTATTCTGCTCACGGCTTATGCTGTCAATTACACTCCGGAAACTTTCTCCCCACCGCGGAGGAAGCTACTTAAATTGTGTATGCAACATACAAGTATATTAAAACAGCAGAGAACCACATGTGCCTTTTAGTATGCGTATGCCAACTTGAGTTTAAAAATCTTATTGGTCATAATATGAGATACTGGTATGTAAGAACATTTGATCTACAGACATTAGTGCATAATTTTGCTTCAACAACTGTGAATAAAGGTCTGTCTGATATCACTTCAGAGAGCCTATTACAGGTAACAACATTGCTTAAGCTTATGCACTTGAGTATCAGTGCATACAGACACTAAGTAAACCCAGTCAGAATCCACGAGAGGTAAAGAGGTGCTTTCTGTGGAAGTATGTAATTATGTAATATATGTATTTAATCATTGATTTAAAGCTAGGAAAGAACTTCTCTCTTAGAAACTTTTATCTTGTTTTGATTCATGCACCCTGAAAGGAGCAACTGAAGTCTGTCAGCTGCACAAAATAAATGTACTGTTTCATAAATAGTCTGAAAAGTACAGACTTCTTCCCATTTGGCATGAAAGACACCTTTTTCCCCCACAAACACACTTGCAGCAAACCTAGCAAAGAAACCACTTGTATGTCTAAACTTGACCTTCAGCATGTTTAGCACATTTTTATGTCAGGCTTCTCATAAAGCAGATCAGCCTTCCTCACAAGTGACCACATCTGCAGCCTGGTTAGTCAAATGCTTTTGCAAAACTAAAAAGGGAACACCTTCCTTTTGCAAAACTAAAAAGGAACACTAGAAATTACCTTCTATCTTCAGACAACTGCACTCCAAACACATGCCTCAGACTATTTCAAGTAGAAAATGTTGGTTTGGATTTCAATATTTAATTATTTTTAACACTGAAGTTCTTCACCCAAATTTGGTGCGTAGTGGGGTAAAGCAGAGAAACCATCATAATGGTTCAGATGTTTGTTTAAAATATACAGGAAATGATGCTAGCTCTTGGTGCCACAGTAGAGACACAGTGATAAGTGGAGACAAAACCAGCACCTTGTTCAGTTATACCCACAACCCCAGTATTCTTAATTAATCAGGTAATCGCTTTTCTTTTGATTGTGTGGCAGCTTATTCATAGCCTTCTCAGTGTCATCGTATCAACAGTGGGACTATTATGTATCACTACTTTTGCAAACGTATCTAAATACATCATAAGAAAAAAAAATAACTCAAAGTCTTTCAGTAACATGAGCCCACCATTCACATAACTAAGTCTAGAAAATGATCCTGCTGCCAAAAACAGAAAGTGGGTGATTTTAAGAGAGCAGGAGGGGAGGCACATGAAGAAGCTGAAATCCGAAACTCCTCAGGAGAGATTCTTAGTCTTCTTGAATTCAAACTTTCTTATTTATAAGCCTGACTCCTCTTACCATGGAAAAAAATAGCACACAAATGTGTAACTCAAGCCTGTACCATAACTACCAAACAACCACAGAAGCTTTAATTCTGACATCTTCTATTACTGCACGTGCATGACTGTACAAATGTAATCCTCACTTGATGAGATCCTTTATTAAATAAAACTGTTTCCCATCATCCTATATGGCAACATAACACATCATTTCCATAGACATACTGAACTGCTGGCTCTTATGTATAAGCACCAAATGGTGAGGAAAGCCACTCATCTGCATCAAGATTTTAAGGGAAGGGTGGCATGGAGATGAGAAGAAAAAGAGTTAATGGCAGCCAGAAGAAAGCTCAAAACTAGGATTAATACCAATCTCTTGTGCTGAGATTTGCGCTGTTTTCTTTATAGATGTAACTCACCTGCCTCAGAACTACCCCCTTCCGTCAGATATTCATGCCTCTTCTTACCAAGCCCTGACCACAAACTGCTCCCCACCCACATGGCATCTTCCCAGGGTCAGTATTGGCAAAGGCTGAACTCATAAGCCTGTAGTGTTTTATGGACGACTTCTGCCTCCACTCCATACTTCCATCTCTCTGCTTTCACACTTAGGAGCTTTCCTCCATTTCAATACAGTATCCATTTCCACACATCTTTCACAGCTTTGCTTTCCCCATCCTAAGTATTCCTCTTCCTAAGTTGCAGCTCCCCCCTCTTTCCTTCTGCTATCTCATACCCAGTATCTTTCTTTGCTTTAATCCTTTTCTAAATACCACATCAACTACCTAATCTTTCATGTTCTGGTTTTCCTACCACACTATCCTTCCAGCTTGCAATATTCTTGTTTCTACACGTACTGTGTTCTTCCTCCAAAATTACACTTCTCACTAGAAATACCTTCCCTCTAGAATCATCTATCTGCTGGATACCTGACCATACAACCTCTTCCAAGACCAAATTAACCCAGTGCTTTGTGTACATGCAGGAGGAGCAGAGAGCAGAGAGAGTACACTGCCTTAAGAAATTTTAAATTTAGACTGTATGTCTGAATTTAATTTAATTCCGTATTAAAAAAAAAATTAAAAAAAAAACCTCCCTTCTCTCCATTGATACCTAAACATTGCCCAAACTTCAGGAAGTAACTGCTACTATTATCTGAAAATGACAGCATTGGTGGATACACATAAATGAGATCACCTTGTAATGGAAATCCCCACTGACAGAATTAAGTGTGATCTCTAACATAGGGCTTGAACGAGCTGCTGCTCAACACAGAAAAAAAAACTTCTGATAAAATAAATTTAAGAAAGAAGAGCCAAAGCGAAGTGCAGAGGAGTTTCCTTGGTATATGTTTATCACCTGGGCCTTCCTTATCTATCTTTGAGGTTTACGTTGGTGTTTGTTCAAGGATGCTTTAACAAACTCACTTTATCAGCATGGTACACAGGCATAAAAAGCAAAAATCTGTGAACCGACTGCAAAGTGAGGACAGGTAGATGAACACAATGTGACATGAGGTGCTTAACCACCTTCTCGGTTTTTAGAATCATAGAATAGTTAAGGTTGGAAAGGACTTTAAGATCATCTAGTTCCAACCCCCCTGCCATGGGCAGGGACACCTCACACTAAACCATGTCACCAAAGGCTCCGTCCAAGCTGGCCTTGAACACTGCCAGGGATGAAGCATTCACAGCCTCCCTGGGCAACCCATTCCAGTGCCTCACCACCCTAACAGGAAAGAATTTCCTCCTTATATCCAATCTAAACTTCCCCTGTTTTAAGTTTTAACCCGTTACCCCTTGTCCTGTCACTACAGTTCCTAATGAAGAGTCCCTCCCCAGCATCCTTATAAGCCCCCTTCAGATTCAGGAAGGCTGCTATGAGGTCTCCACGCAGCCTTCTCTTCTCCAGGCTGAACAGCCCCAACTTTCTCAGCCTGTCTTCATATGGGAGGTGCTCCAGTCCCCTGATCATCCTTGTGGCCTCCTCTGGACTTGTTCCAACAGTTCCATGTCCTTTTTATGTTGAGGACACCAGGACTCCAGGTGAGGTCTCACAAGAGCAGAGTAGAGGGGCAGGATCACCTCCTTCGTCCTGCTGGTCACGCTCCTTTTGATGCAGCCCAGGATATGGTTGGCTTTCTGGGCTGCAAGCACACACTGAAGCCGGCTCATGTTCATTTTCTCATCGACCAACACCCCCAAGTCCTTCCACGCAGGGCTGCTCTGAATCTCTTCTTTGCCCAACCTGTGGCTGTGCCTGGGATGTGCCTGGGGTACTTAAATGTTTTGTTGGAAGAAGCTCAGAGAAAATACATTTATATGGTCTCCTATATACAAACCTGAACTCTGTAGATTCAGTGTAGGTCAGTCCATATTACAGGTAATGATAATTTATTATACCAAATGAAGTTTGCAAGGCAGATAAGCCCTTTAACCAAAAGATTACAATAAGACTATGACTTAAATACAATATGTAGTGACAGCTCCTTCTCCTAGACTGTATCCTAGGCTACAGTACTTACAAGGCAAACACACTATTGACATCTGAATGCCACCACCATCACATTCAGTTTTTCAACAAATCACAGAATGACAGGATGGTTTGGGTTGGAAAGGACCTTAAAGATCACCTAATTCCAACACCCTTCCGCGGGCAGGGATACCTTCCACTAAACCCTGTCACTCAAGGCCCTGTCCAACCTGGCCTTGAACACAGCCAGGGATGGGGCATTCACAACTTCCTTACGCAACCTATTCCAGTAACTCACTTATCTAACAGTAAAGAATTTCTTCATTATACCCAACCTAAATCTCCCCTGTTTAAGTCTGAACCCATCACCCCTTGTCCTATCTCTACAGTCCCTGACAAAAGGTCCTTCTGCAGGGGACAAAGAGTGAAGAAAATGAATCTCAAAGAATTAATCTACATGAGAAGTACAACTCTGAAACCTGAAGCAGACACAAATAAAAGCTCCTTTATATCACCAGCAGATATTAAGGTTCTCTGTTTCACTTGTATTGCTTCTTCATATACCTTTTCAATTAATTACTGTTGGAACACACATGCTTCCATATTTACTTGCTCAGCCACCCAAACAGAAATGAAGCAGGAGGGAATGTTACAGAGTATGACCAAAATAATATCAAAAACTTACCCCTCTGAAATTCCAGCCCTTGGTAGAAGGAAACAAGGAAAAGTTGTTCTGTTGCTGTTGTTTCGGCCTGCCAGATGAGACAAAGGAAAGTGTTATATTTTCAGCTGTCTCATTTTCTGTATCAGCAACAGAATGATTAACAGATAGGGAAAAGAAAAAGTCTTCAAGTACTAAGACACCTTAGATATCCTTGGCTGTCCTTCTGATGGGTTTCTCTCTTCAGTTTAGTTAAATGTTTTAATTCAGATGGAGAGCTAAGAGACATGGCAGAGACAGTGACTTGATGTCACAACCTTCAGAGACACAGTGACTTGATGTCTGACAACAACTCGTTACTCCTACTCATCTTCAACAACCAGAGACAACCCTGACCTGAACAGTGTGGATCTATGAAACTGCAATTATGCCATGTGATGCAAGATGGTGCAGACTGCCAGCTGTACTTGATGGGGACACTGAAGAGCCTTTAATCCTAACAGGAAAGCTATGTGAAGCCCCAGTGTAAAGCAAGCTAGCCGTACCTTTGTGTGACGCTGAAAAAAATAAGCTGACTTCTGTTTTTACTCCTTCCAAAAACCTTTCTCCTACCCTATAATTATCCCTGCACAATTATTTCTGAAAAGCAACTGTAGCATTCTCCACTCTTAATAAGTGCTTTTCACCAGTAAGATCTTAAATGACTTAACAAAATGTAGGCAAACATTGCTGAGATTTTATACATGAAGTCAGATCAAAGCTTGACTGACCTGTTGTAGCTGACCAAACCAACAAATTGTTTGACAGCGAGACCTAAGCGCTGAGCACACTGCAACTCCAACCATACAATTATACAGATTACAGAAGCCATCATAAATAACAACAGGAACAAAAAACTTCGTTAAAAAATAGCAAATTAAATGGCTGCCTGTCAAACCTCACCACCCAACAACAACAGAACACATTTGCAGTTAAAGCACTGGACTAACACATGAGATATTCATGAGTCACTGCTGCTACTTATAGCTCCTGAAGGACTCCAACACAGTGTGCCCCGGTTTCTTTTCTGTAGAGGCAGGATAGCAGTAGTTTCCTCTTTTTTTCTATCTTCTCTATTTTGGTGTAAAATATTTGCTGACATTTTTCTTATGTATGTTAAAACACACCAGCGAGCAAATGATCACAGTAGATGGATTTACACAAAACACATAATCACAGCCATTTTTGTAACATCAAAGGCTGAGATGCAAGTTGTCCTGGCTTCAGCAGTAGCAGTTGTTTTTCTCTTTCTTGGTACCTGGTGCAGTGCTGTGTTTTTGACTTTTGGCCTGGGAGCAGCGCTGATAACACCAATGTTTTTGGTTGCTGCTCAGTAATCTTTACTCTGACCAAGGACTTTCTGAGTCTCATGCTCTGCCAGGGAAGAGGGGAAGCCGGAGGAAGCAGAGACAGGACACCTGACCCAAACTAACTACAGAGGTATTCCATACCACAGCACATCATGCACAGTATAGAAACTGGGGGGAGTTAACTGTAAGGGCTAGATCTCTGCTCAGGTCAGGCTGGGTATCAGTTGGCAGGTGGTGAGCGGTTGTATTATCTTCCCTTGTTATTTCCCTTATCATTATTATTATTGGTGGCAGCAGCAGTGGTTTGATGTTATACCTTAGTTACTGGAGTGTTCTTGTATCAACCCATGGGGGTTACATTCTTTTGATTCTCCTCCCTATCCCTCTGGGAGCTGAGGGAGAAAGGAGGGGGGAGTGAGCGAGTGGCTGCATGGTTCTGAGTTACTGGCTGGGCTTAAACCACAATGTAAGTCTTACTGGTTTTTCATTCTAACAGCCAGCCAACCAGGAAGAATATCAGTATTTGAAACACATTGATAAAATCATTGAAAAACACAAGGCAGCATACATGACAACCTTTAGTTACCATTAAAAATCATCCCTCTAATAAATCTTTCTATTACAGCTTTCCAAGTTAAAATATATAAAACTGAATTTCTAACCCAAAAGCCTCACTGGAACTTTAACTTTATGGAAGGAGAAAAGTGTGATTAACAACAACAATTTACACAGTTTAGAAACTGCCCTATCAGTGTTTTGAACCATTTTTATTCACAGGTAGTCTCACAGCAGAACCAGTCAGTACTGGGAACTTTCTATAGAGAGTTGTACTCCTTAGGAACTTTAAAAAATAAAATAAAACCTCATGTTTAAACTTCCATTTCTGCATTTTTATTTTGATATTTTAATGCTGTTCATGCCTTTATTTTCTCAGTTAATTCAGAATTGCACTAGTTCTGGTTTAGTTAAGCTGAATATAGGGGAAATAAAAGACATTCAATTTTCAGTATAGCAGAATTTACGATGGACAGTTACAAGGGAAAAGAAAACTTCATTAAAAATTATCTCTCCCACAATCATTCTATAACAAGAACTGAGAACTCTGTAATAAGCAATAAGTTTGTTGTATCATTCATCTATACTAAAGCAACAGCCATCCACTAGAAGAGTGATGACTAACCATATTATCATCGATCTGTAACTTTCCCATTCACTGAAAGCACCCCAGACTACACAACAACAGCCAGTCCTCATGGAGGTCAGACAATATTAAATCTGTATTTTGCCAGTTTTCACAATAGGTATCCTCCTTCCTTATCAGTCAAGAGCCTTAACTTCATTTCAGTGAGAATGAACCTCTCTATTATTTTATTATTTTAATACTATTGTAGTGTTATTAAAGAGCCTTAAATGCAGCAGCCTAATGAAACAAGCCAGTTTTACTAAAAGGAATTAATTAAAGAGGCAGTGAAACATTGAAATCCCTGTATGCTCCTCCATGACTCACTGGCCTGATCTGATACATACACAGGGTGTAACTAAACTCTTTGCAAACTGTTTTTTTTTTTTTCCCACTGTGTGCACAGCTCTTCTAATGAGCAGAAATCAGGCTGAAGCATTAAATTTACTTTCCACCCTATGGACTACCTTAAAGCATTTCTTCAAAAACTTCTGCTTTTATGCGTCTGGCCTGGCCACTACTTTCCTAATTTTTATTCTGTCAGAGGTATTCAAAGCTTAAGCTTGTAACACAGTGAACACATCAAGTTTAGTTTCCCATTACAAGCAAGCATTTCATACAGCTAGTCTCAAACTTACCAAGATATTAAGGCTGCAAAAGTACCATGCCATTATCTTACTGACAGACTGGTTAGAAATCTCACTGCTCCCATAACTAGAAATTGTCTAGGCTAACCATATTAATAAATTGTTTATAACCACCATCCTGAACCAGCATTTTTCAGCTGAATAAACCCATAAATCAAAATGAAGTAAAACAGAAGTTCTGGTTTTCAACTGCACCTCAAGTAACAAAATACAGTTCTATCAAAACCAACACCTTATTACAGTGTTAAGTTTGGTCCTTCACTATCTTCAAGTTATTTTGATCTCTTGATCTTCCTGTCAACATCAGTGGGAACCGTACTGAAAATAAGGAGAATATTGCAGATTCTTTCAAATAAATCAATGTCTTGCTATTTTTGTATAGGGCACTACTCCTGTTACTTCTGAACATTCTGTTTACTGGGTAATTCTTTTCTGAATTTTAGTAGTATATAAGCTAATGAAGAAACAGCCTGCCTCTATTACAAAACTATTAAAATACTAAACTGCTATTTGATAATCTATACACAAAACCACAAAGCTACAGAACTGTCAACAGATTCTATTTTTTAATAACCAATAAATGTTATGCTTTGATAGGAGGGATATTATATCACTATGTGTATTAGAACCACTTGGTTTGGAAATAATTTACCAGACCAATAATAAAAGTCAGCACTGGCATAAGTAGGTAGCAGACAGAACGAAATAAAATGTTAGCTTAAAGATGGAAAGAGGAGACAAATTAATAGGTGTTAACAGTGACAACCAAATCTGACTTAGGCACCTAAGTCTAAAATAAATTACCTGGATAATACAGTAAGACTTTTCAGATGTCATGAACAAGATGGGGATGGTTACTGCAACTGCATGCACTGCGACTAGCACTCTTGAAATACATCAAATAGGTTATCACACACTAAGGTCATGGCTGAGAACAAGAAGTACATAATGTGTGAGGAAAAGAGAGGAGTTCATCCCCACAATTACTTACAGCAGTAATTTAAAAGCTGTAATATATAATACTTGACCTTTCTTAAAGATGGATCTTTCTTCATTTAGCTAGAAGTCACAAAAACATTTTCTCCCCACTACCGCAGCTTTAAGAATGAAAGACTAGAAGGTGGGATTATGTAGAGACTCTTCAGGCTGTAGGAGGGAGAGGGTCACCAAACCTGTCAGCTGAGCTTGGTTTGGAGATCTCTATGGTAAGTTTACCTTGGAAATAAAAGCCTGAAACCAAGTTCATCCAATCTGAGAAAAGTGCAAGCAGAGGCCTGTCACTTGGATAGGCAACTAACTGGTGAAGACACTTAACTTGCAGCCAAGTCTGAGTGTCAAATTCCTTCTCCTCCTCCTCTTCAGTATATATTTTAACTGTTCACCTTCCATTTAACCTTTAAACTCTAACCCTGGCAAAGTAAGTCATGCAAAATGGAGTCTTCACAACTTAGTTGCTCAGATGTTGTGGTTTAAACCCAGCCACACAGCTCCTTCACTCCCTCCCCCTCCTCCCAGAGGGATGGAGAGGAGAATCAAAAAGAATGCAACTCCCACAGGCTGAGATAAGAACAGTCTAGCAACTAAGGTATAACACAAATCACTACTGCTACCACCAATGATAATAATGATAAGGGAAATAACAAGGGAAGAGAATACAACCGCTCACCCCTCCCCAGCCCGACCGAGCACCAACTGATACCTCGTCCAACCACGCCGTCAACTCGCCCTTCCAGGTAACTCTCAGTTACATCCTGGGCATGACGTGCTGTGGTATGGAATACCTCTTTGGTCAGTTTGGGTCAGGTGTCCTGTCTCTGCTTCCTCCCGGCTTCCCCTCCTCCCTGGCAGAGCATGAGGCTCACAAAGTCCTTGGTCAGGCTAAAACATTTGAGCAGTAACTAAGAATATCAGCGTT